CACCATCCCCCCAAGCCTGCCCTAGGCCCTGGAATCACTGGGCTTGCCGACCTACGGCGCACCCATTGCTGTCTGCCCACGCCAGCAGCTTGGCCTCAGAGCTCAGTGACACTCCAGGCCTAGAGCCCTCCTGCTCCAGCGCGGGGCCTGGCCAGGCCACTGCCGAAGTGGGCCCCAGCAGCCTTGCTCTGCCTGGTCATTGGAGGAACCCTGCGCCCCTTTGGGAGGTCAAACTGGGACTTTGGGAGGGGGGCACATTTGAAGTTCAGCTGCATTGCCCTGGGGGAGGGGAGCAGGAAGAGCAAGGGGCTGCCAGATCTTGGGTTCTCCAAAATTGTACTGACACTTGGGCAAGGTGTGGAGAGCCATAGATCGGGGCACAAAGCCGCCTCCCTGCAATGGGAGTCTGTGCAAAGGGGGCTGGCAGTATGGATGGAGCATGACCAGACACACGCAGGTAGCCTGGGCACATAGCAAAGGAGACTGAATCCTAGGTCAGTAGTGCTGGAAAATCCTTGCTGCCTGGTGGCTGCTGGCCAAGTGGATTACTGGGGACAGCCAGTTGCAGGAGTCACCAGAAAACACCACTTTGTTGACCCCTAAATGTTTCTTGGAAATGTGGCAGGTTCACCAGCCTTTCAAATGGAACTTGTCAGGCTCTGACGGACTGTCCGGTGTCCCACCAGGCTGCTGGGGCCCTCAAGCATCCAGGGTCAGAAGGCCTTAAAAAGTTGCCTGTGCCCCTGCTGCTGCTGTTCCAGTCCAGGCCCCTCAGCCATGTTTCCCATGCTAACACTGTTAGACTAGCACACAGGTGTAAATGAGACCGCAGCGCTGCCGGAATCAGGCCCTAGGGACATCTGGGTGGATTGTCTTTCCGGATCTCTACTGAAGGTGGTGCCAAAACACCAAACAACCCGCCAGTGTCTGTACCACGCCCAGAAGCAGTAGGTAGCTGCTGAAAGGGAGCGATGGGATTGTTAAAGCTGCAGGACAATTTCCATCTCGAGGGGAGGTCTCACTGGCGAAAAACCCAAAGCTTCCCTGGAAATGAACCGTGACATTGGATTTGCATTTCATAGAATCATAGAACCATAGAGCTGGAAGAGACCTCAGGAGGCATCAAGTCCAGCCCCTGCCCAAGGCAGGACCAATCCCAACTAAATCAACCCAGCCAGGGCTTTGTCAAGCTGACACTTAAACACCTCGGCTGTGTCTAGACTGGCCGCTTTTCCGGAAAAACTTGCCAGCTGTCGACACTGGCCGCTTGAATTTCCGCAAAAGCACTGATGATCTCATGTAAGATTGTCAGTGCTTTGGCGGGAATACTATGCTGCTCCCGTTCGGGCAAAAATCTTTTTCTGAAAAACGTTTGCACAAGAGGGCCAGTGTAGACAGCAGAGATTTGTTTTCCACAAAAAAGCCCTGATCGCGAAAAAGTGCTTTTGTGGAAAAGCGTCCTGCCAATCTAGACGTGCTTTTCCGAAAATGCTTTTAACAGAAAACTTTTCCGTTAAAGGCATTTCCGGAAAATCATGCCAGTGTAGACGTAGCCCTCTAGGGATGGAGACTCCACTACTTCCCTAGGTAACCCATTCCAGTGCTTCACCACCCTCCTAGTGAAATAGCTTTTCCTAATATCCAACCTGGACCTCTCCCACTGCAACTTGAGACCATTGCTCCTTGTTCTGTCATCCATCACTACTGTGAACAACTTTTCTTCATCCCCTTTGGAACCTCCCTTAAGGAAGTTGAAGGCTGCTATCAAATCCCCCCTCACTCTTCTCTTCTGCAGACTAAATAGACCGAACTCCTTCAGCCTATCCTCATAGGTCATACGCTCCAGCCTCCTAATCATTTTGGTCGCCCTCCGCTGGACCCTCTCCAATGCATCCACATCCTTCCTGTAACTGGGGGCA